TTTGTATCCTTGTTGAGTGGATGGCCTACATTTCAAATATAAGCATGAGTTGTTGCCGAGTTTTTATGATAAGTCACTTACCATTGAAATGTCGCCAGTTCTCCCATTTGGCCGTGGAAATGCAGAACGCCATGGCGAGTGATTATTATATTCACCAGCATCTTCACCACTTTGGGGTTGGGCATGAAATCCTCAGATGTGAGGATAGAGGAAGAAGAAGATGGGGACGATGGTACGGACATTTTAGGGCATATAGAAGGATGTTGTTTGATTAATAGGTCTCCATCGAGGCCGGTCATCCTAGTGCCATAGTGTTCTTGGCACTATACGGCAATCAGGGCGGCCTTGAATAATATCCCCCTTTTGAGCCCAAGACTATTGTCGCAGAGCCATCGTATTGCAGCCATAAATAGCAATAATGCTGTAACTGCAGTGATTTGCAATCAGCATGATGCCACTCTACTTAAACTCTTCACCTATGTATGGTTTCTGAGGCCTCGTCCATGTCAGCATCGGGTTACACTTGTATATGCAAGCGCACATTTACGGTGCAGAATTACTACAGTCAACACCAATGCTCATGCCCTCACACCAAGAAACGTCTTTCATCCGCCATATCGTCTTTCAAGGACTTCGTTATTCGACGAAAAAATCCATGCACTTCAGACGACCAGCATGCTCCCTCCATGATCCTTGCATCACCCAATATCCTGCAAGCATCGCCCAACCAGGATGTTCCCTTGCATCACCCAATAACCTGCAAGTGTCACACGACCAAGACAGTCCCAATGGCGCAGCCACCAGCTCATGTCTCGAAGATCCGGAATCTCAGCCCAACCATTGGCAAAATTCTGCAGGAATCCTTCGTCATCATGCTCTCAATGGAGCGGACGATGATGAAACTGAAGAGATGAGTTTGGCACAGCGAAGACCCAGGCGTCAGAATCGTCAGCTGCCGCAGAGATTCAGGGACGTACTGCCTCAGCCCCCACCAACTGTTCCTGCGGAAGTCTGCCACCTACCTCCGCAATCTGTTGGATGTATTACCAGTCCTGAGAACCACCCAGGCATACCAGTGCGCCCGGTGTTTCATACACCTTCGAACATTTTCGGTCTGGTGCACCAGTATTTCTCCGCTACACCACCATCTCACGATCCAGAAGAGTATGTGACTACAGCAGACCTCTCTCTCATTCCTGCAGCACCTCAGGAACCTCCTTCGAGCAACAAAAATATCTACCATCCCTATCCCAACTGTTCATCATTCTGGCTGGGTGATTGGTATTGGAACCAGGGACTCCAAAAGTCTCAAGCGGACTACACAAAACTGTTGGAAATAATGAGCGCCAGCGACTTCAACCCTTCTGATGTGGGCTCTACACATTGGAAGAACATCAATTTGATACTGGGTGCGAATGAATATGACGAGGGAGACAAGGATGAATGGCATGACGAGGATGCCGGATGGAAGAGAATGCCGGTATCTATCGAAGTACCCTTTTCCCACACTGCAGAACTACCAGGGCCCCAGGTGTATGAAGCTGCACAGCTCTATCATCGTTCGCTGGTCGCTGTTTTGCGAGAGAAGCTTGCAAATCCTCAGGATACTAAATTGTTCCATTATGAGCCATACCAGTTACACTGGAATCCTGAACACCTGGACACAGAAGTTCCATACAAGGTGACCTGTACACCTCGCCAGTGTTCCACGAGGCCCACATGGAGCTCCAAGAATCCCCCGGAGAACTTAATTGTAACTTGCCCCGAGTTATAGCTGGCATTATGTTATGGTCAGATGCTACGCAACTCACATCGTTTGGCAATGCAAAGCTTTGGCCTACATATATGTATTTTGGTAACGAGTCTAAGTATCGCCGCTGCAAGCCATCGTGCAACTTAAGTAATCACGTTGCATACTTTGAGACGGTATGCCTTCCTAAGACTTTGCTTCCATATTCTGCTTATCATGCTGCTTTAGCTTCCAGACTCTTTGAAGGATTTCATAGGAGGGAAAGGAATGTCCAGCGAGTGTGCAACCCATTGTCACAGAGAATTCTTTCATGCACAGTGGAAGATTCTGTTGGACGATGAGTTTCTTGAGGCGTATGAGCACAGTATCGTGATCTGTTGCTGCGACGGCATCAAGCGCAGGTTTTATCCGAGAATCTTCACTTACTCCGCAGATTACCCAGAAAAGTAGGTGAACTCATCTTAGTCGTTCACTACCATTGATTCCAATTTCTCCAGAGTGCTTATAGCAACAGTCCAAAACCTAGGAGGGTGTCCTTGTCCTCATTGCCTGATACCAAAGCATCGGATTCAAAATATGGGCAAGTTGCAAGATCGACAACAACGAGAGACTTTGGCTCAAGACGATGAAAGAAGATGAATTCTCGTGGGCACTGCTCGCAAATTGATTTTCGAGCAGAACTTAGGGGTTGGTGGCGCAGCGGTGGAGCATATCCTTAAGCTATAATCATGGGTCCCTACTTCAGTGAGACTTGAATCATGTCAATAACAAACCATAGCTAATCATTATTCAGAACGCATTCTCTGATCACCTTGGTCCTTTGGGGTTCAACATTTTTCTAGCCCTGGTAGTCGATCTTTTACACGAGTTTGAGATTGGCATTTGGAAGTCTCTTTTTATTCACTTGTTGCGCATCCTTTTGGTACATGATAAATCTCTTATCCATGAACTCAATCGGAGGTATGCAGGTATCGTCACATCAGCATACCATTCATCTTATTTCTACCAACAGATACTGGCAAACCCCCACATTCGGTCAAGCGACCATTCGAAAATTTGCTGCTAACTCGTCAGAGATGAAATGAATGGCGGCCCGTAATTTTTAAGATCTACTCCAGGTATGGACTAGGTATTGATATAGCAAATATCTGATGCAATGTTTAGTGTTCAATCCCCATCTTCGACAGTCTCCTCCCCGAACCCCACAACACAATTGTTCTCAAGTTACTATTTACAATGGCACATTGGCATGGGCTAGCGAAACTCAGGATGCACTCCGATTTGACCCTTGAGATCATGGATGGAGTCACTTCAGCAGTTGGTCAATAGTTCCGAGAATTCAAAACAACTGTTTGTGCTGCTTACACCACACATGAACTTCAAGACTCGCACGCGATGTCATGTGAAGCAAGTGGCCAGACATAATGGTGTGCGCATGGGCAAGCAGCGCTCTCCGATTGACAATGCTCCCAATAATGGGCCATGTACGAAGGTTTTCAATTTTCAAACTTACAAGTTCCATGCTTTAGGAGACTACATATCGACAATCCGCCGGTATGGCACGTCTGACTCTTACAGCAGTGAACCAGTTCGTTCTTTGTCATTTGTGTCTGTCTGGATTTAACTCATTGATCATCACAGGGCGAGCTTGAACATTGTTCACTGAAGGCTAGATATTGTCGCACAGATCGCAAGTTATTTGTGCAACAATTGACTTGGATCGAACACCGCCAAGCTCGCATTTGTCATGTGGGTGACAGGATTGTCCATTGTCCCCATATCAAAATCACAGAGTTAGCAAGAAGTCCAGACCTCCACCACCATATCGGTCTTACACAAAAATTTCCTATACATATAGGATCCTACTTATGCCTCCATGAAGGCGATCCAGCAATCAAGGTTGGTCCAATCATACATGTGCGAACACACTTTCATGTGCCTGAGCAGAATTTTGTGTCAAAACTGAAACTTCATTTGTTGCGTCAGATTACGAAGTTGAGAGATGCAGAGTCAGATGAAGACATCAACTCAATCATCCTCAAGGATGATCGAATGTATCATCACAATACTGCTAGATTCAACTATACCACCTATGATGTTCGTAGATCTCAAGATGTCATCAACCCATGGACCTCGCACTGCAACATTATGGTCCTCTGTGCCGGCAATGATATGGGCCCCCGAGGTCACAGATTCATCTACAGTAAGGTACTGGGTGTATATCACACTAATGTAATCTTCATCGGCCGCGGTATTGTTGACTACATGCCAATCCGAATGGAATTTCTATGGATTCGGTGGTATGAGCCCATAGATGAAGTCTCATCCTGGGACACCTCGACTTTGGATCGTATCAGATTTCCGCTGATGGCTGACGAGCACTCCTTTGACTTTCTCGATCCAACTGATGTTCTCAGGGGTTGCCATATTATTCCCTCTTTTGTCAGTAAAAAGCGGTGCCCCAACGAGTCGGGTGTGTCAGCGTGTGCAGGGGACAAGGATGATTGGTGTTCGTATTATGTCAATAGGTGGGTGTTTCCAGTTTTCTTATGACTTAAATACTAAACTCATCAGTTCAGATTTGTCGACTGCGATATACTGATGCGGTTTCACTTCAGTCTTGGAATCGGGCATACATACTCTCACTACCGTGATCGCACCTCCCATGTGGAGTCTCAGGATGAATACATTACAAGTTTCCTCAATGATGTTGATGCCGGAGATGATGGAGAAGTTAGAAGTCATCATGAAGACGACGAGGATGATTCTGCTGACAATGAGCAGGATGAAGTCTCTGAAGACAGTTCAGAACAAAAGTCTAGCTCCAGTGGGGAGTCACTCTTATCCCAGTTCGATGAAATGTATGATAGTGATTTAGAACTAGATTACGAGAACTAATTTTTCAAGGCACTGTGATGTTGACGGCGAACTTGATGGCGCAAGCCAGCAATCAAGTATTAAGGTACCCCATGGAATGGCGCACATAATAAGGCTTGCGACTTCTCGATGGCGCTGTAATGACCAGTCCTCACTCTAGGTCTCGTGTTGATAATACATATGTGCTAAACCTGATGTAAGTCATCTCCATATGTAATACGCCATCGCCGCAAGACTTCTTTGATGGCGCTATGATGACAATCTAGCCTTTTGTCAAACGAGGAAGTACATGGTCTGTGCACATATAGAGTTTTGCAATGGCCCTTAAATACGCAAAAATTCATAATATTGCTAGTTCTGTTGCTTCACCACAATGTCTACCTTAGTTCCGCAATCAGGCGATATGATGCAAGGTGATGTGTTGATCTTCGACACCGCCCTTTCTGGGTTCCTCTCATTCTCAGTAAGTCGTGTTCTTGTCTTGCAATGCCAATCAACTATACTCATACTGGATCCATCAGGGTATTCCTGTACTCGACGTTGAGTTTGTAGGGTACATGCCATTGGGTTCTGGGGATCAGCTCACCCTTTATCCACTCTATGTAAGAATTCTTGCAACTTATTCCCCCATCTTCTCATCATGTTATATCGCAGTGTTCCCGCTATTGTCTTGAGGGTGTAAGGCTTCTATTTTATGGGTGCTTTGAGTAACTTACCCGCTCTCAGCTGAGGGCATACTTGTCTTTGTTCGCTTACTTGCTCGCCCCAATGGTGCATGCATCGCAATACGAGTTGCTACCCAGCAACGAAGTTCCCGTGTTCACTTTAGCGGTAAGTCTGATTGCAATGGCATGCTACCCTCATGCTAATTTGTTGCACAGCTCAACGGAATCGACGCCCCATTCTTAAATTTGCCATGTGTGAGAGTCAGGACAGGTATCGATAAGATGCTCCATGGTGTTTATAACTATGTATGTCCGAGTCCGCCTTGCAATCGTATCTTATTCTCATCCCCGATATTGTAGCATGGTGTGGCCTGGCCCAATGAGTCTCCGACTATGATCCATTTAGCACAGTTCCCTTCCGGGTACCGTCACACTGAAGGGTCGGTTGATGGATCAGATTCAATCCTTCAGACCACCTGGGTCGAGTCATCAGCCATGACCTCAATTGCAGGCGCCAGTGGGCGCCAGGCTCATTCTAAAAAGCTCAAGGCTGAACACAGCCTCCACAGGATTATGGCGGTGTGTCCAAACTGGGGCAGAGCCCTCGCATTCTTACACGTCCATCTGAGGATTGTTATCTGCTGTGGCCACTCTGACAACCCTCACCTTCTTATCAATGCCAAGTATGCTGAGTGCAGGGTTGAGCTCATCCGCAGTCTCTGGCCTAAAACTTTGGCGCGTGCAAACATTGCTTCGCAAGATTTGGAACTTGGTAGGGGCACTTTGAGTCTGATAACATGCAGTACTGAATACTCTCTAGTGCTGGCCAAAGACACCAAGCTTCCAATGTCACAAAATGAGGTGTTGGCGCTCGTACATGTCATTTCTGTTCTCATTTCCTTGTCCCATTTCAGGATAGGCAAGCCCATGGGTCATGCAGTTCTTGTATGATAACCGGTGGGTAATCGCATTCTCCATGGACGACCCTCACATCTTTGGCCTTGGCAATTTTTTCAGCTTGACGCTGAAGCACAGCCTTGAGACCCTCCTGCAGATGTTCACGCGACCTCACGCACATGCACTCCCAATCACAGTGAGTTCTTAGAATTTACTGACATTGTCACACACTCATCTTACCACATGAAGGTAAACGGGTTTAAAGCTTTTTTGACTCATCAAGCAGCAAGTGAGATGGTTTTTCACATCGTGTTCAGGACCACCGCTACAAACCGTATCTGTCTTGTCATTGCCGATCTGGAGCCAGCGATCTTCAGAGATGCTGCCCATCCCCCAGCAGACACTTTGGCCTTGGTGGGGACATGTGTAAGTGCCTTCGGCTATCTAGTATTCAATTACTCATGTTTATGATCACAATAGTGTTACCAGTCACTCCTCGCAAGGCTTGTGAGCATCTGGGGTCCCAATGAGATCATGCCACAGTATCCCCCTGCAAGCTAAGTGCATGCTGAACTGTGCGAGACATTCTTGATGCTCCTCCAACAAGATGAGGACCCAGACATCACCTTGTTCAGGGCTACCATCAGATGGCTTTGCGCCCTCACATGAGTTGACTGGATAGGATTCTGTACTATGGCTGATGGGGATGTGATGTGCAGTGGGAGTGATGTCTTCCGCATCAGCCGCCAAAAACAGGCACAATTGGTTGTGGCCTAATGTAGCTTCCTATATCTGTGTTCTATATGTAACACCTCCAACAAGTCTCTCAAAATGTACTACTTGGTCAGACTGCAAATGTTTTTGTGATTGTGAAAGTCATAAAGCTGCACCCGAAAGTCATTTTCTGCACCGCTAGTCCATTCCAAGTATTTGCAAAGTATGTCAAATGCACCAGGTCACCATACATAGACTTATTTGTAATTTTTAGAGTTTGATCGCCATAGGGTCATTTAATTGCCATTGCGTCGTTTGATCGCCATCGCTTCTCAAACCATTGAATAAGTTGTGTAGGCATGACTCTGGTGAGAACATCCTTAGCCTCTCTTACTACCCTCTTTTCAACATGATCAATGATTCCCATTTTCTTGGAATTGAACAGACCAAATCAGCCTTGATATCTTGGCTCTCAAACCAGGAGCGAGACATTGTGAGCACGTTCACATGCTTCTTATCGTTTTCTAACTCGACTTTCAGCTTCCAGACTCCCTCTTTGTCATGGCTTCCATGCTGTTTGGATGGATCGACTCCCACGATCTCATTGCTCTCCTTGAAGTGAGCCTCAAGGAAATTGAGACGCAGCTCCAGCAAGAACAGGATTTGTGCATGGTATCTTGTTTACAAGGGAGATGTTGGATGGAAGATAGGATGTACCGAGCGCAGACCGAAATTTCATTGTTTAGCGCTGCTATCGCTAACTTGTGCGAAGAGCTCGAACGTAGAAGCTACCCAAGTAAGTTATGCCTTTCGGAGGATTATGTTTGACACCCAAAATTGTTCATAGACAAGTCACCCGCAGTGAATGACGCAGATGTCATGTGTGTGACGACATACTCGCTGCCCAGCTTGGCCATCTGTGACGACTTCTGACCTACACCAGTCACTCGAGACAAATGTGATGCATCAGACAAATGCAACGCATGGCTACTTACGTTGCATGGTGATGTGCAGCTTGATTCTGACACAAGCCAAATACCATTTGGTTCTTTGCAAACAGAAGTTTCTCATCTCTATGATTACCTTGTAGGGGTATGTGGTATTTAAGCTACAAGGACTGAATTCTGATATGATACTGTACAGCCTGACGATCAATTTCTCTCTCTGCCTCGCATGCTGAAAACTTGGGTTGATAGTGTCGCATTTCGTGCATACTTAAGTGCATGCTTGGCAGAAAGTAAGCCGTCATCCATCACTAATAACGACACTTTCAAACCAAAGGAACGCAAAACTCTGGACATGCTCCAGTCCGATATACATGTGCTGGGCCTGAAGAAACGACGCACGCAGGTCAAAGTGGACATGCTTTCTGAAGCCATAGCTCGCATGTCTGAGTTCGAGCGCACCAATGATGGTGGACACACAGTAGCTATGCTCTTGTTTCTGACGCTAAGATTACTCTAGGCAAATCAAGTCCAACAATGTCTACGTCGCATCTGCCTGAAACCTATGATGACTTCTCTGATGATTATATTTCGACTTCATATGCCTCTTCCATTATCTCGTCACAACTGTAATGCCTTACTTGTACCGCCAGTTTGTAGCCATTGCCTATCCCCGGTAGAAACGTGTGGCACCCAACTCTTGCCATTGTATGGTATTTGCTGAAGTCAGTTTCATTTTCCTGTATGCTACTCCTATTCCATCAATCTGTCTTCTATAACCAATACTATGATCTTTTGCCCAGAGTTGCAAAATGTTCCGACCAGTTCTTGAGAACACAACAACAACACAACATTAAAATAAGAAAACAACAGGAGTGTACAGGGTTTGGTACATATTCTAATGCTATGTAAAAAAACAAAGAAATTTGACAAGGCTATGTTGCCAGAGAGAAGCCGGTGATTTGAGCCCAGAGTTGCAAAGTTTCTCATCTGCATGCAAGTCACCGTGTCACACTGCCGCTTTGACTCTCCGATGAATGAAACTGCTTTCAGGCTAGTGTGCAGGCATTGGCCTAGTTGCCGAGTGGTGCTTTTACGACTCCGAGCTTCCAAGACATGCATCAAGGTGATATTTTTCTGGCAGTCATATCTTAGTCATCACCAATTGTATCTAGTCATATCAACTTCAGAAAACACGTTACAAGTATACAAGAAATGTGATATCTTATTTCATGTATGTGGGACATCAAGACAACAACATCTAAGGCATGCGTAATTATGTTTTGTGATCACCAATTGTATCTAGTCATATCAACTTCAGACAACACATTACAAGTATACAAGAAATGTGATATCTTATTTCATGTATGTGGGACATCAAGACAATAACATCTAAGGCATGCGTAATTATGTTTTGTGATCACCAATTGTATCTAGTCATATCAACTTCAGATAATACATTATAAGTCTACCAGAAATATGATGCCTGCAGCCACTCAATTATAGTGCATAGGCAGCCTGGTTGTCACACTGTTGTCTGCTTCCAAGACACACATCAATATGATATTTTCTGGCATAGTCATATCTTAATTCACATATATGTGACACTATGATAATGATGTCTAAGGCTAAAACACAATATGTAATAATGTTTTTTGATTACAAATTATATCTGGTTATATCAACTTCGGGTCGATTTCCTGATGGGTGAGGTTTTGATGCTCGAGGAATTCAAACATATTAGTATTACTCACGATAAGTTTTGAACACTTCAAAAAACTCGCTAAAGCTTCAAAAAACTCGCTAAAGTCTTTAACAAACTCGCTAAAGTCTTCAACAAACTCGGCCAGAAAGCCATCAAGACACACGGCACACGCGGCATCAGAGCGGACTTGGAAACACTTAGTCAAATTTTAAGGCATGTATACTACACAAAAATATATAGATGTAGCTAGGTATCTAATGAACGAGATATAACAAAAAAGAAATGTGTAATAGTGAGGGAAACACGAGATTCAGAACGGAGGTATGAGAGAGTGAGAGTGCGGGCGCATGAGCTGGGAGGTAGAGTTAGGGGATTCCGTTTGATCCGGCGTTCGAACGCTGAATGTGTGACAGCGAGGGAGACACAAGCAGTGTAAGAGGGCGGGAGCATGTGCTAGGAGATAACGAACATGTTGGGGGATTCTGTTTGATCCGGCATTCGAACGCTGGACGCGTGACAGCGAGGGACACAACAGCAGTGTGAAGGGCGGGAACATGGACACAGGTGTGTGGGGCTGGCCCAGCCGGGAGATACAACAACAGCCGTATGAGTGCGCAGGTGCAGGCATGTGGGCTGGGAGACACAACAGCAGTAGCATGAGATCAGAGAGGGCAGGAGCACAAATGAAGAAAAATTACTCACATTTACATCCTCAACCTCCCATCCAGCGCCATTGCATACCTCCCCATTATCCACCTGTAAGATCATGCTGGAAGGGGCAAGGGGATGGTGAGATTCAAGCTACGGAATGCACGGAGGATGCAGATGCTAGCGATGACATCTGGCGCTAATCGTGGTAAAAATTTAAACTCCGATTTAAACACCGCCTAATCAGTTGGATGATGGATCTCGAGTGTACTGATAAGAAAACACCCCGTTCCAAGTCACAACCATGCCTCCTCAGTCTACACGTGAAGACCTCCTTCGTGCCATTGATCAGGCTTCATTGGCATTAGCCAACTCACAGTATTTGAATATACTCCTGGATGACCAGGGCTCCAACTCCGACTCAGACTCTAATACCGACTCGGACTTAAACTCGCTTTATACCTCGGATGAGGAAGATCTGGCTTTTGCCTCCCCATCCCCTATATCCCCCATGTCCCCTATGTCCCCTATGTCCCACCTTTTGGGCCTCAGTTCAGATATTTCCAGCCACAGTGACCAATCTGACGACTCAGATGACGCTGCTGTGCGTTACGACCGGCTCCAGCACACAATTGCTGCTCTTCGTGATGAGGTAGAGAGGGCACGTGTATTCCACAAGCCTGATGAGCCTCCTCCTCGGGCACCTCAGCTGCATATGCTGGTTCACCATGAGGAACACCGGCCTCATTTGTTTCGCCAGAAACTGCGCGTCAATCCAGAAATATTTGACGATATCCTCAACCAGATCTCCGGTCATCCTATCTTCTGTAACCAGTCCAACAATCCTCAGCTCCCTGTCTCCATTCAGCTTGCTATTTTTCTAAATTGTGCAGGCCACTACGGCAATGCCATTTCACTCGAGGATGTCGCACAATGGGCGGGTGTGAGTGTTGGGTCGGTTGTCAACTGCACTAATCGTGTGATGGTTGCATTGCTTGAGGAGCACGATCAGTTTATCTTCTTCCCAGAAGATAACTCTGAGGATACTGAGCTGGCTCGGCGCTTTGCTGAGACACGAACCTGTCCAGAGTGGAGGGGTGGCTATCTAGCCATTGATGGCTCAACTATAGATCTTTTCACCAAACCTGCTTATTTTGGTGAGACATTTTATGATAGGAAATCTAAGTATTCCCTTGGCTGTCAAGTAATGTATTTTTATTTATTTTTCATGGGCAACAATTTAATTTAATTTTAGGCGGTTATCATGCCCCATAACCTCATGATTGTAGATTATTCTCTTGGTCAACCTGGGAGTGTCCATGATGCATATGCTTTTCGATCCACTCGCCTCTATGAAGAGCATGCCAATCTTCTCCCAGATGATCACTGGGTTTGGGCAGACAGTGCATACCCATTGGAGCCATGGTGTATCCCCCCTTTCGAGAAGCCTTGCAATGGACGACTGACAAAGGACCAGAGGACATTTAATTACCACCTTTCTAAGGTATTTTTATTTTCTGCTTTTTTATTATTATTAATGAATTTAAAGATCTGTGTGCGTGTTGAGCATACATTTGCAGTCTTGAAAGGGCGGTTCCAGTCTCTCAGAGAGCTCTGCATCAATATTCAGACAGAGAAGGACTTGCAGGTTGCTGTGCATTGGATTAAGTGTTGTCTTATCCTGCACAACATGATCATCTGCTTTGAAACTCGTCGTCGCATAAAGACTATGATCAGTCTCTGGAGTGGGCTCGTACTGAGGGTGAAGCTTTTGTCCCTCAAGAGATTGAGGATCCAGAGGGTAATGAAACAGTGGGTGACAGGTCATATGAAGGAACCCCTGGCCAGGCTACTCGTGCAAGGCTCATGGATCAGCTCTTTGATAGCCCTAGATCAAAAGCACAGCGTAGGGAAGGATAAGCATCATGTTCACATTCACCAATGATACATGTACTACTAGTAGTACATCTTGTACAACACATGTAACATCAATCTTACAAGTACCAGCAGAAAAAAAAAGCACCATGTTCACATTCACCAATAGTACATGTACTACTAGTATTACAGCTTGTACAACATCAATCTAACAAGTAACAACAGACTACAAAAGAAATTCATAAGTCAGATAGCAACAGCAGCAAAAAAACGCGACAGCAGAAAGCAGCAATGATGATACAAAAATAAGCCGCTAGCGGACAGTATGATAGGAAGGGGAACAACAGCAGCAAACATGTCAGCTATCAGACGCAGAAGCGGTACTACCGCTCTGCGTCATCTGGTGAAATTGAATCTTCAGGCGCCACATCTCTGCCTCCTTGTCAAGCGCAAGGGCCTGGGCCTCGTGCACTCGGACATCTGTCTCGCGAAGGCGGATTTCCGCGTCCTTGGTCTCCTGCTCTCGTTGATGGCTGGCGGCAGCTTGCATGGCCTCATGTGCGCGCGCCTCGCGAAGATACTCATACTTCTTCGTCTCGCGATGGTAGTCCTTCTTCACATCAAGCTTCGCGAGGAAGCGCTCGTGCTTGAGGTTATGGCGTGATGTGATGTCCGATTGAATACTCCCAATCTCACCATTGACCCTCTCAACCTGCTCCTGAATGTCGGACTTTGCTTTCTTCTTCTTCGACCCTGTGGTCTTCGGTTGCGCTGATATTGAGGTCTGGAGGGTCAGAGACGCAGGAAAATCTGACGATGAAGTGTTGTGAGTCGTCGACGAAGGTGTCGACGAGCTACGAGTCATCCCTGGCGACGACGATGCAATAGACGACGGTCTGCGTCGTGCGTCGTAGCCAGAGGGCCCCTGAGCGCCGAATGCTGCACGGCTGTCGTAGAAAGGAGTGGGTGACTTCTGCGTGATTGAAAAAGGGATGGGGTGGTTAGGAGGAGGAGACGGCGATGATGGGAGTTGTCGTTTTTTCCCGGCAACCTTTGGAGGGCTGTTAAGGTCATAAGTAGGGTGCGGGGCATCAGTGTCCATATCGTCGTCATCCAAGTGGTCTAGTGCATTGCCCAGAGGGGCACGGAAAGCAGTGGAATATAAGTCGTCGTCGTCAAGATCAGGAACATTGCCCATAGTGGTATCGAAGTCGGCATTTGGAGGTGCCGGAGGAGCAGGAGGAGCAGGAGGAATAGGAAGAGCAGGGAAATGAGGAAAAGCAGGAGTGGGA